GAGTCAAAGGAGATACAACCGAAAGAAAGAATAGAGACTAGGATTTTTTTTAAAACGGAGGTAGTGTGTAAGAAGAAATGGAAGCAAGTAGGTAAGAAAACAAAACTATACGGAGGAGGAGGAGGATTAACAAGACAATTGAGAGGCTTAAGGGCCTATATTCTTTAACGTGTTATATAATACTGGAGAACGAAGGGTGTCTACAGAAGGTTTTTTGTTGGTGCGCAAGGGAGATAGGGTGAATAGGAAGCCATGCAATGTAATGAGTAGGCTCGTCAGATGGAAGAGGCGCAACGTTGAGACGCTATGTATGTGGAATTGGCTTTCGTAGAGGAGGAACATGGGAGAACTGGCACACAAAGAGGTGACGACTCCCAACAGTCTTCTCGGGCAGGATCGGGCCAAGAGAACTGAATCGGCAACTGTTATGATGCTGAAAAGGCTCCCCCGACGCCATAGGCCTGGAATTCTCATGAGTGAACAAATGAAGCAGAACACTGATCTATGATTATGTAGATGGAACTAGAATAAAACAATATGGTGGCGTGTCAGAAGACGTCGTCATCCCGAGGAAGCCGACGCCCTGGATACACCCTGTTGCCAAATGCTTTGTGGGATGAGAAGGCCGATATGTAGTTGGCACTAAGCTTTGGGTTTAGAAGTGGGTTCACCTCGTTGTCGCAACTTGGTCTTGTGCTCAGGGAGACTAAGTAGAACGCAACGAGTCCGAAGCCGTCTGCCATAATAGTTGCCTTGATTCCCAGCATCAGAGAGTTGACTTGGTACATTCTAAAACGTTTCGCCGGCATCGTAGTCGGCATCATCAGTGAGCTTTGCCATTCTTCACACCAACATACGAACTCGTCAAAGAGACAAGTGAAGTCAATCTCTCGACAACCGTTCTGCTGAAAACGCGTTTAGAGTCTAAGAGGTTTAGAGGCGAAGAGTTAATGATTAACAAAGTAGTCGTGAAACTGTAACTATTCTATGGTCGAAATTGCATTAGCCAAAGTGAGGCGACAAGCTAAGTAGATGGTCACCAGTGACTCAGGCTAGCATGAGCATGAAGAATGAGGGTGGGTGGATTATAAAAGGTTTTTGTGCAGGAGTGGAAAACAGATGAGAAGGCCTGCCATCAGAGCTTGTGCATTTGGTCTCAATTGACTCTGTTGTCAAATTCTTACTTAAAAGCAGATAACTGTGAAAATTACACAGGAAAGTAGAGAGCATGAGAATGCTTTGGTTTTCCATAAAGGGGCTAAAACAGTACGATGAGTAAGAGGTGTATTGAATCACTTCAAGGGAATAAGGTAGAGAAGTCCTCAAGCAAAGAGGTTAAGGGACAAACGGATGAGGGATAGAAGTACTTTGATATGAATTAGTTGAGGCTAAATATATATACCTACGCTCTCTCGCTGCATCTGTTTGCTTCTTTGCATTACTGCCTCAACTATCTCCGAATCCTCCTTTAGCAGAAAGACCACTCTTCACTCTTATTTATCTGCACTCTTTGTTCGCATTGCATTAAGCCTACCTGTGGGCATACCAAATCGGCTAAGCAACTTATTCGTCGTAGATACGAAGAGAAACTTGGTTTAGATGAATCTCCTGAGATAACATTGTTAG